CTGTTTCCCACACCCTACAGAACCTCAGTGTCCAGGTCTGCTCTGAGTGCTCCCCACACCCTACAGAACCCTAGTGTCCAGCTCTGCAATGAGTGCTCCCCTCACCTTACAGAACCTGTGTCCAGCTCTGCTCTGAGTGCTCCTCACACCCTACAGAACATATGTGTCCAAGTCTGCCATGACTGCCCCACCACCCTACAGAACCCCAGTGTCTAGTTCTGCTCTGAGTGCTCCCCATACCCTACAGAACCCCAGTGTTCAGTTCTGCTCTGAGTGCTCCCCGAATCCTACCAAACTTCAGTGTTCAGCTCTGCTGTGGGTGGTCCCCACACCCTACAGAACCTCAGTGTCCAACTCTGCTCCGGGTGGTCCCTGGCCCCCTACAGTCCCAGCCCTCTCCCTATGGGTTGAGGGCGCTTCCCGGACACCATCCAGGGTGCTGCAGTGAAGGAGGCCCGGTACAGGAGGACCGGGTTGAGGAGAGACTCCAGTCCGGCCTTCTCTGCCTTCCCAAGGGCCAGGGCCTGCTCTGAGGCCCAGTGGGATGCTCCTCAGGATAACTGAGTGGCTCAGAACCACGTCCCCCTGAGAAAAGAGGGAGATGGGGACCCAGCAATGAGGGAGAGCCTGTGCGGTCTTCTAGACATCTGGGCACACAGTGCCCCCTTGAGAGATTCTCTGGCCAGTGAGTGAGGCGGGAGGAGAGCTGGGTAAGGACCATGCAGACTCTGGGCCATTCTTGAGCAAGAGTCAGAGGAAAGCTGGCTAAGGCCACAACAGGCCAAGTGTGGGGCCCTAGCAAGGTGCCAAAGCCGCCCCATTCCCATGGCATCTGTGCAGATGGACGGAGCTCAAAAACGAGGGGATTGGCCTCCCCAGGAACAGAATCAAGGCCGGCAACCTTGGTCTCCTGCCCCGGCGTGCAAGGGTCACTGCCGCTGACCCCTGGCTGCAGATCTGCAGTCCCCCCTGGTCACAGCTCTCCCGCCAAGACTCTCGGGGAGCACCCCTGGGATTTTGAAGGCCCCTCCGCTTAACAGTGCCGTGGTGCCCTGTTAGGCTGGCCTGAATTCCCAGTACAACAGTGGCTCTTGTCCTCAGTTGGCCTGCCTGGTCCCATTCTTCACCCCCCACTACCCCCAGTCCCCCACCCTGAATCTCAGGAGACAGCCCAGACAGTGACAACACGTTGTCTGGGGCCGCCCTCCTCCATCCCCTTCTTCCCCTACGAGGCTGCCATATTAGTTGTACAGACCTGGGACCCTGCCAGCCTTCCACACGAGCTGTGTACAATCACTAGGTCTACTAGAAACCCACCAGGTCCCTGGAATACCTCCAGGGTGAACCTCCTCCCGCAACCTTCCCCCCTCCCCTCCCCAGGTCTCTCCTCTGCTCTAGCCCCCTGAAGCAATCAGCATGTTCGCTGAAACCAGCCCCTGGCTCCCGGGCCATGGGGACCCAGGACTTCAGCAGTAGAGTTGAGTGTGGGGGGGAAAGTGATATGACCCATGGGCTCCCAGATGCCCCTCAGCAAGGCTGAGCACCTTTGACCCCTACCATCTGAGAGGAACCTGGAGCCTGAGCCATTGCGATGATCTCCTGTCCCCCTGCCCACTCCTACCCTTGGCCAGGGCCACTGGGGCTCGTCCATACACCTAGACCTTGGTGCTTATCACCACCTCCTATCTCACTCCCCTCAGGGCCAGGCCCTACCGGGCTCCTGGAACCCTCTTCCCCTCCCCGACTCCCTTTGTCCGCCCTCCGGAGAAGGGGAGCCCCCCCAGCACGGACTGTTGACAGTAAGACAAACAGCCTCCGAGGCCAGTGGCAAGAGGGCAGGGGCTCAGGGCTGTGCTGGAGAAGGGCAGGGTGGGGGGATGGGGCAGGACAGAGCTCAAAGGTCGTCCTGGGGGTGGGCCGGCCGGGAGGGAAGGGGGGCAGGCCAATTTGGGGACCCTGATGGCCCCTGAACGGAATTTACAAAAAGAAAAGAGAAAGAAAGCACTTAGGAGCCGGAACTCACGTCTTACCATTTGTGCTGTTTGTTTACTTTTTATTTTGGTTTTTGTTGGTTTTTTTTGCATTTCCGCTTAGCTTGGATAATGAAACTAGACCGGCCAGTTTCATTCCTGTTTCTCTCCCGATCCGATCGTTTTCCTGCCTGGGTTTCTTGCACTCGGGGTCGTGTATTGGGTCAGAGCCCCGCAGGGAGCGTTGGGAAGCAGGCCCGCCCAGCACCCCCTTGCCCGGCATGTGTTTCTGGAAGCAAAGCCAAAACCAACAGTGTCACTGATACTGCATTTTGTTTTTGTTTTTGGTTTTTTTTTGTTGTTGTTATTGAAAAGAAAGAAAGAAAAGGGAAGTCAGGGGGATTTGAACGTGGGGATCCAAATCCAGGTGACTGTCTCCTGTCTGGGCCAGACAGGGGCCTCGGCCCTTCCCCTTGCTGCTTTCTCCTCTTCTCTCCGTGTTAGGGCGAGCACGGTTGGTGCGTGACTCTTGGGGACTGGTTCAGGGGATGATGACAGAACAAGACTCTCTTTCCAGCCCTGTGCACATACCAGTGGCATGCTCCCCTCTCCCATCGGCTCATCTTCCTCACCTCGTGTCTCCCTGCACCCTGTGCCCAGGTGACCCACCCCCCATCCCATGCCCATCTGCCTGTCCATCCTCACCACACATCTTCACCCTCACCTCTCATGAGGCCAGAGGCACCCTTACCCCTTCACCTCCTTCAGTGCCCGGGGGCACGCACTCATCCCTCATCCTCTCCCTCCCCCGGGTCAGGGCAGCACACATGGCATTATCCCCAGGCTACCCCGGAGGTGAGGTGGGGAACCGGAGAGGAGGCTGTCCTGGCCTCTCTGTCCCCACAGATGCCGCCTCTGGGCTCTCCTCTCGGGCGCCCCCTCCACCCCCACCCTGCTCTTCTCCAGCCCTGGAGGCAGACCTGCCCCTAGTCAGAGCCCAGGACCAGGCAGGAAGGGCTGGGAAGGCCGTTACCTGCTGCTCCTTCTAATCTGTCCTCTGCGCCCCTAAACCTCAGAGGTTAGACACCTGTTTGAGTGGGAACCCACCAGCCACCCAATCACACTGAGTTCAGGCGCCCATCCTGGTGGACAGACCAATCTCCCCTTGCCCTTTGGCCCTGCTTTTGGGTGCACTTCAGGTAGGCTACAGAACCAGCCCCCCCGAATCTTCTCAAGGGAAGTCCCCGCCTTCTAGATGTGCTCCTCCTCAACCAGCAGAGGTAAGGAGAGAGGTGGCAGGGTCCAGGCGGGCCCCAGAAGGAGCCAGTGCCCCCCCCCGGAGCTGCCTGCATGTCAGTCCTCCCACACACAAGGTGCCTCCTCTTCCGCACTCAGTGAGTGCGGAAGCTGCTGTCCCAGGGCAGGAAGGTCCGACTCATACTGTTGTACAACTCCAGGGCATGGACCAAGTGTGAACGCACCACCTGCAGCTGTGTGACGCCGTGGCCGAGAAAGCCAGGTGGAGGCAGGCAGTTGGGGATTCCAGGTGGAGTGCGGCATCAGGGATTAGGTGGCTTTAGCTGTCGTTGGTCTCCGAGAGCCTTGGGACGGCAGTCCTGCTTGTCAGCAGAGGGAATCAACTTCTCCCTTGTCCCCTCCTGCCTTCCACCCACTCCCATTCTCTCTCATAAACACACACACACACACATTGTCCCTTCCTCCCAGAGCCGAGCTAACCTCAGACATTGGACGTGGTCGGATGCATCGTTCTTGTTCCGTTGTAGGGTCTAGGAGTCATTTTGGCAGCTTCTGAGCCTTTCTCCTCTGTCCTCAAAAGTGCTTCTGCTTGAAAAAATACTTCTCCCTTTTAGTCCCCGGCTCACGTGGACATCAATTTCTGGGAGCGGAGGAAGAAGAGCTGAGCCTGGCTGGAGATGGCTGGCGAGCCCTAGTTACAGCCTCCATTTTCCTGGGCTAGGATGATTAGGGACCAGAGAGGAACCAAGGGACTGGAGGTAGCCTCTTTCTCCCAGCGACATGCCCACCAGGATGAGCGTGCATCAACCTCATTGGCAGCCCCAAGCACACTGCCCAGCCCTCCACCACCGCCATTGGTCAGACACTCCCACCACTCTACCAATCAGCTTCCTGCTCTCCTTAAGGGAGATTTCACTAAGGCCCAGAGAGACTCCAGCTGCCTCCCCCCTCACCCCCCACCACACCCATTCTCCACTCCTCCCAGTGACCTTCAGGGACCTCAGGGTTTTTGTATGGATCACAGACACAAGGGCCACGACTCACGCTAAGTCCAGGGGACTTGTTGCTGACTGGTGGACCCTAGAGTGTCAAGTAGTTGAGCACATTCAGCTTCAGAGCAAGTTGAGGTGGATCAGTATTGAATTGTGGCCTCCTGTTGAGGGAACACTGATAAGGCCCCTAAGAGGTGACCTGCTTTCCTAAGGAGGAAGAGGCAGGGTGACATAGACCCATCTGTGAGTTGGAGGTTGCCGGGGGTGGCGCAGGCCACCGAGTTCTGTTTCTCCTTAGGTAGCCAGCCTTGCTGGGGTTTAGAAGAAAGGACAGGACTGGCCATGGCTCCTGAAGCCTAGGAGACTGAGGAGTGACAGCCAGATAGAAGGAGGTGCACACCTTTGGGATGAGGACAAGACAAAGGTGGGAGTGAGTGGTGCATACGGAGACGGCAAGCTAGATACCCAGGCCAGAGCAAGGCCGTGGAGGAGCAAGTTACGGGGGAAAAGGAGGGGGTTCCCAGGCAGCCAGGAGGCCCCTTCACTGAGCCCCAGTGTCCCCAGTGAGCCTCTTCTAACCTCCCTGTGATTCTCGCCACCTGAAGCCAGATGCCATGCACCCGGAAGGCCAGCTTTGGAATGCTGGCCATTCTGGGTCTTCTCCAACCTACCTTTCCCCTCAGGAAGCTTTTCCCATGCCTATTGCTCTAGGGCTCCTCAAAAAGCGATGTCCACGGTCAAGGAAATGTGGGAAATACTGGAAAGCTCCACTCTTTCCTTCTGCAAAATTCTGCACAGCCTTTCATATGTTGATGTAGATTGCAATGACACCAGGTACCCGGGAGTGGATCCCTAACTTATTTGGTCACTGAACCTTTGAGAGACTAGGAAAGAACATTTCCCAAGGTCCCTCTGGTCACGGGCAGTCTGGGAACAGCCATCTGGCATTCTCCTGGGAGTTTTCTGGGGGCTGTTTGCCGAGGCCCTGGAGAGAATCACCCTGCAGGGACTGAAGGAGTGGCTTCCAACCCCTTGCAGTCCCCTGTCAGCAGATTGCCTGGCACCAAGGGGCTACAGTGCTGGCTTCCTGGGGCCCCAGGCCGGTAAGAAGAAAAGATTCAGGGGTCATCAGGACAATGAGTCAGTAACTTCCCATCTTCCCCCACCCCCACTTCCCCCAATCATCCCCCTCCCGGTCCCTCTCCCCCCTCCCTGACACCCATGGAGCCACACTGATTAGAGAGAGTTTTTTTTTTTCAAAGGAGATTTCCGAGCCCTCCACCCAGCCCTGACTCCAGCCCCTTCAGCTACAAGTGTGACCCCAAGTGCCTGACTTGATTTTCCTCATTCATCACTGTGCACTTTGATTTCTAGCCTTAGCCTCGTGGATGATGCCAGTTTGTTCTGTGATTTCTCCCCTTTTCCTTCTCCAGATGTCCAAACGGATTCTTCGGACAGAGATGTTTGGAGAAACTGCCTTTGCGATTGTACATGCCAGATCCTAAGCAAAGTATGTTTGAAGATACAAACACAAGTCCCTGCTCCTTAGAAAGCTCCCGGGTGCAGTGCCCCTTCCCTCCCCCACCCCTCTCGTGTAGGGCGTAGGGCCAGGGGTGTTGGTTGTTTTGATCTTTGGCTGTTTTGTTTTTCGTTTCTCTTTTTTCTCTTTCGTATTTTGGTTTGTTAGTTCTCTTTTGTTTTGTTTTGTTTTGCTTTGTTTTTCATTTTTGGCCTAACCCTTGGGTTTAAAGTTCAGGGCCGCAGGTAAGGGGCAGAGTGGCAAGGCCAGTGCCAATGGTACCGGTGGCAAGGAGTCCAGCTGGCATTGGCAGGAGCCGGCGCCGGGGTGCTGCGATGCCTGTGTCTTGCTATCCTGGCTCTCTCTTTCTGGTTTTCTTTCTTTTGGTAGGTGTCCTGTGGGCTACACCGGGGACAGGTGTCAGCAGTTCGCAATGGTCAACTTCTCCAGTATGTCTTTCTTCTATTTCTTCTTTTCCCTGGTGACTGACAAGTTCCCCCCTGTGGGAGGGAGGGGGCCTTGCTTAGTGAGACTAGAGGGGGCTATGGGAGTTTCCTGGGCTTCTCTTGGCCCCTGGTGCACAGAGAAGACCTGCCGCCACCACCCCTGCCTCACCCACCCTCCCACCCCTGCTCCACATGGGCACAGGAATGCAGGATTCTCCCTGCAGCCAGCCATGCTTGGGCCTTTCACTGCCTCTGGGGTCAGGCCACCTGGCCAGAATGGAAGAGGTATTTGCAGAGCCCTCCCCAGCCCAGGCTGCCAATGGGACCCAGCAGTGAGTGTGTGCACGAGAGTGCTAGTGTGTCTGAGCTCCAGGAAAAAAAAGTCCTTAGAACACCAGCCTTCTGGTTTGACCAGAGTTTGGTTTGGGGGCTGAGGGGAAACTGAGGCGAGCAGGACCCAGGATTATGGTTTTCAGGGATTCCAAAGCCTGGAGACATGTGTGGGGCTACAGGTTGGGGTGGGATACGATGTGGTTGCAGAAGCCACACGACAGAGGGAATGAGGACTCAGGAGGTCTAGTCTCCACAACCTATCTGGTTTGAAGCCACCTAGGACTTCCCTTTTTTTTTTTTTTTAACTATGGAGGTTGGGACTTACTAGTTTGGGCAGTTGAATGAAAACAGCATGAGCCCCCATGGTCCAAGGACGCGGCCCTAACTGCGATGTTTTTTGCGGTCTAGGAGCAGTTCCTTTAAGCACCGCCAGGTGGAGATAGAGCAGAGCAAAAAGCTACAGGCCAGCCCTGAACTCTCTTTGGGGCTCCAGTGGACTGGTGACTTACTTGTAGGGCCCATCCCCATCACCCTGTCCCATGCTGCCTGTCCCACCCTGACCCCTTCCTCTATGGAAGGACAGTTAGGTCCCATGACAAGTTAGGAACTGAGGGTGATGGTGCCTGCCTGGGCATTAGGGAGATTTTTTTCGGGAGCTACTTAAGTTGGGGGAGAGTTTGGGAGTTTGGGCCTCAATCTAACTCATACAACAGCACAAAGGCCCAGATATTGCCCTTCTGCACAAGAGCCTACAGTCTGAGACTTGGAGGAGGAGGAAGTGACCTCCCAATGGGAGGGAGGGCTGGTGAGCCCAGATGGTCGGTTCTCTGGCAGACTGTGGGAGACAACATCTCTGGTCTGAAGCCAATGAGCACAGCCAGGCCCAGGGAGGGAGACCATGGGGGGTAAGGGCAGAGCCTGCAGGTGGGCATGTGGACCAGCCGAATTCTCCAGGGACCAGGCTCGGGGAGAATCTCAGAGTCAGACGCAGCCCTGTGGGGAGGACTGAGGGGCAGGAGGGGCCTCAGGGGGTCCGTGGCAGAAAGCAGGGCCCGAGAGGGGCATGGTGGGCAGTGTCTGTTTCTTTCACCCTCGGGCCCAGCACCTCCCTGCCTTGCGGGACTGTTCCGGACAGGGCGTCCCAGCCCCTCCGGGATTCAGCTGCTGTCCAAGGCTTCTCTGGCAGCTGGGCTGCATCAGCTTTCGGCTCCAATCTGGTGGGAAGGTCCGCAGGGCCACGGGTCCCCAGAACCAAGCTTGGAACTGCAGTGCCCGGCCTTGCTGCCTCACACCATCACTCTTCTGACTCTCTGGAAGCGCGTTTGTCTCTGGTCACTGCTGAAAAGGCCCTGTCACATGCTGGCTTAGTGCTCAGATAGAGCTGCACGCAAAGGCTGCCACCAGGAGTACTAGCTCTGGGCCCTCACTGAACCTCTGCCGTGGGTGTTCTCACCTGTAGAACAGGGAGAGTGATGGGGTGTGCCCTGAGGCTTCCTGCGAGGACGACATGCAGTGATGTATATAGGAAGGGCTAAGCAGAGGGCCTGCCCCCGTGGTTGGAGGACTGTATAGTGGCCCTCCCAAGCCCACCTGGGATGGCAGGGGGCAGGGGGGCTGGAGGGGCGGTGCCTGAAGGGTCAGTCTCAGTCCCCCAGAGCCTGATTACCATACCCTGAGCAAAGTGGCTGAGCAGGTTATCCTTGGGAGAGCCCAGAAAATCAGAGCCTGGGACTGCAATAGCACTTTGAACTTCCCCTGACAGCCCTCCACGTCAGGGCCCACGGTTGGCCAGCACACATGCACACGCATGCACGCATACACACAGTCAAGGATGTGCCCTGAGACCCACAGCACCCTTGTCCTGGCATCCCATGACTATGTGATATGGAGCCTGTCCAGAAGAAGCATGCATACTGTCGGTAAGCCAGGCCTTGGAAGGCCAGCATCCAGGCTGCCCTGGTTACTGGTTGAAATGCACATTACGGCCCAGTGGGACCAGCCTATGACCCCCTGGTGCCAGCTCCATGTGAGTTGGGGGATAGCCAGTGAACATGATATGTGAGCGTGCCAGGGCCCCACAGAAGTCAGGGAGGCAAAGCGGGCCTGCTGTCCTGGTGGCTGGCTCAGCCCGCCCCGGACAGCACTGGCTGTTGCCTCAAAGGGAAGGCCAGTCGGGACCTCCAGAAGCTGTTGCTCCTACCACCCCTTGGTGACCACAGTGGGATGGTGCCGAAGGAGACTGAGAGGGCTTGGGAGCCCTGCTCCGTTTAACTTCAGTGTCAAGTCAAGCTGGCCCAAAGACTCAACGGGTGGGGACAGCAGGGCTTCCATTGAGAACCACTAGTCCTCCTACCTGGTTTGCTCTGTGACCTTAAGAGTGTGCCCTAGTCCCCCCGGGCCCAGCTGTCTCAGCTAACATGACAGCTCTCTGAACCACAGTGAGCAGTGCCATGATCGGCCAAGCCGCTCCCTCTCGGGGCAGCAGGACTGAGCATTCCAGCAGCGGGAGCCCTCTACCTCCAGTTGCCTGAGAACACAGGATGAACCACAGCCCTCAGTGAGCTGCCCCCCCCCACCCCACCCTCCCAGTATACAGAGCTGGCAGCGCCCTGACAGGCCCTGGGAGAGGGGCAGACCCAGCTGTGTTTGTGGTGGCTTGCTTCTTTCTCTGAGCTCCAAGACAGCAAAGAAAACCAAACGTCCAAGACAAGTGCCCCACCTCAGCTTGACCAGGAGAGCCTCTGTGATCTCTTCTTGGAACCGTAGGATCGCACTCAGAGCCATCTTGGTCCCTGGCTCAGAGCCACCCCATTCTCCTGCCCTCTTGCACATGGAGACATCTCTGGGACCCCCCAGCAGAAGCAGTAGAGACACACTGGGGTGGAAAATTCCCCAGGGCTGCCAGCTGGTTTGTCCTGTCTTCTGCTTCGTCAGCAGGTGCTGAACACATCAGAATTCAGGTCCTCACCCCCACCCCCCGCCCCCTTGGATCTAGCTAGGAGCCCTAGTAACAGAGTGTGTTACGTGTAGGTGACTAACCACAGGTTGGCTGTTCAAGCCCACCAGCCACCCCACGGGAGAAAGATGAGGCTCTCTGCCCCCCAAGAGAAGTGCACAGCCTCAGATAGCAACAGCAGCAGCTCTACTCTGCCCGATGGGGTTGCTATGAGTCAGAATTGACTGAGGGCCGTGAGTTGGGATCTTTTTTCTTCTCTAGCTGGAGCGTGTTGTGCATGTGGGGAGGCCACAGAATGGGCTTCCGTGACCGGCAGAGCCTGAGCCTCAGCTCGGCACGCCCACGCACATCTTCCTCTGACGCAGGGCAGGCCCTGGGGCAGCTGAGGGAGCACGAGGATTCGCCCAGAGCCACGCCTGTAACAGGCTGTGGCATTCCCATGTTGGCATCTCTGGGCTCCTGCCCCCGGGGCCGCAATGCCATGCATTTGGATCATGCAGCAGCGAGGGCAGGTGTGCACGCCTTCGGGGATCACATGGCCAGGCCTGATCCCCGTTTACCAGGAGGGACTGGGCATTGCTGGGGCCACACAGCAGGGCAGCGGCAGAGCTGCTACTTGGGCCTCAGTGGCCTGGGTGTCTACCTCTCAGGGCCTTGAAGTCACAGAGTTTCAACATGGTGACTTCTGGGGGTGGGACTCGTTCCCCGTCTGAGTAGCACGGGTGGTCTGAGTGGCAGTTTTGCTTGCTGTGCCAAAGTAGTGAGATTGGGCTCGGACCCTCTGATCTGGCCTCTGGAGGCTTCCAGGAGGTTGTGGGGGTCGGCGGACGTGACCTGCATCCTGCCCACGCCTGCGCCACCACAGAGGGCTCCCCCCCATTCCCAGGGTGGAGCAGGTCAGCTAGGCTTGTGGGGCAGGGCAGGGCAGGGATCTGGGCCGGACCTCGTGCCCACGCCCTCATTTTGGATAGCGACAATTTGGGGAAGACAGGAGGCCCAGCGAGGATACCAGGGGGCAGAGGCAGGCGAGTGGGGGTGAGCGGGGCACGTGGTCTCCACGTGGGGCTTGCGCAGGTCCTGGCACGGGAGCTGGAGTGGGGGCAGGTTCGGGACTCCTTGGACCCTCACGCCCACTGCTCTTTCCTCCCTGGGGACATTTGCCAACTGACTCTTGCACCTCTGCCTCCCCCAGGTACTAACTCACACAGCTCATCTCTAAAGAGCCTGCCCTGCCTGCTGACACTAACATTTCCTCTCTCCACCCCCTCAGGGGCTCTGGGGGAATGGGGTCCCAGGGAAGAAGCTCAGGGGTCCGGGAGGGGACACCACTAACCTGCTTTCACCTCATAGGCTGGCTGCTGGTATCTGAAGAGTCCTGATCAACGTGTCTCTCTCTCTCTGTCTCTCCCTCCACCCTCCCCTCTCTGACCTCCTCTCTTCTGCACTGCCAGAGCACCTGGGATTTGAATTAAAGGGTACGGAACTCTATGTGTCCCTCCGAGCCATCCACAAAGCCCCTCTCCACAGCCCCCAATGCCGTGTGTGAGGAGTGTCTTCCTTCTCCCCCTCCCCCCCATACACCTGTAAAGGGATGATTCCCAAACCTCTCCTGGCCCCGTCAAGATGCCCTCTTGTAAACTAGCTTGATTTGAGGGGAGATAAAAGCAGCTCAGGAACAGCACCTACGTAGGGGTGCAGACCTGTGCCCCCAGGGGGGCAGTGGTGCCCCTCCCATGGGTCCCCAAGGAGAAGGACCCCCTCCTGAGCTGTATGCAGCCCAGGCAAGAGCCAAGAATGCCGCCAACACAGTGGAATGGTCTGGAAGCCCCAGAAGCCTGAGCCGGAGAGTTGTCGGGAGGCATCCCTTTCCGTGTGACTCCAGCCCTCTTTCTGTGCACCATCTCCATTCCCATTGCTTTCCATCCTGGCAGCCGGTGACTCCCCAGCTGTCTGCCCACCCCAACCCCCACCCCTGCCCTGGGTCTACCAAGCTTTGCCATCTGCCTGAGGCTGTCACTCACTCTGTCCATGGCCAGTCCTCACAAGGGCACTCCAGTGCACCTGTGGGCAAGAACAGCGAAGGGCGGGACTAGCCCCAGGTAGCTGCCCC